AACACAGCTAACAAACACAGCTAACGAACACAGCTAACGAACACAGCTAACGAACACAGCTAACAAACACAGCTAACAAACACAGCTAACGAACACAGCTAACGAACACAGCTAACAAACACAGCTAACAAACACAGTTAACAAACACAGTTAACAAACACAGTTAACAAACACAGCTAACGAACACAGCTAAAGAACACAGCTAACAAACACAGCTAACGAACACAGCTAACAAACATAGCTAACAAACACAGCTAACACTTAAACATTATTTGACTTGTAACTTTTACATTTATTCATTTAGCTGCAGCATCGTCACTTGTATTTATCTATTAAAGTTTTTAGCTATCTTTGTCTTATTTTCCTCTTTAGCTAGCCTTTTTGTCTTGTTTTTATTTTTGCTAACCTTTGTTACATTTAGCTTTAAGCTAGCTTTGTTATTTTTAGCTAATATTTTGCTATAGTAAACTATTATTTACCAGTCTGCCTTCTTTAGCTTTAAGCTCGACCTTTGTTACTTTTAGTTTTTAAGCTCCAAACTTGGATTTGAGAAGATCAAGGTTTTGGGTAATTCTATGGTAATTTTAGGTTGTAGCTCATGTTTTGCTGATTTTAGCTAAAATTTTGCTACTATTAGCTCCTAGTCACTAAGTTTGGCATTTTTGACTTTTAGCTAGGCAATTTTTTCTGCTAACATTTTGCTACTATTAGCTCCTAGTCACTAAGTTTGGCATTTTTGACTTTTAGCTAGGCAATTTTTTCTGCTAACATTTTGCTACTATTAGCTCCTAGTCACTAAGTTTGGCATTTTTGACTTTTAGCTAGGCAATTTTTTCTGCTAACATTTTGCTACTATTAGCTCCTAGTCACTAAGTTTGGCATTTTTGACTTTTAGCTAGGCAATTTTTTCTGCTAACATTTTGCTACTATTAGCTCCTAGTCACTAAGTTTGGCATTTTTGACTTTTAGCTAGGCAATTTTTTCTGCTAACATTTTGCTACTATTAGCTCCTAGTCACTAAGTTTGGCATTTTTGACTTTTAGCTAGGCAATTTTTTCTGCTAACATTTTGCTACTATTAGCTCCTAGTCACTAAGTTTGGCATTTTTGACTTTTAGCTAGGCAATTTTTTCTGCTAACATTTTGCTACTATTAGCTCCTAGTCACTAAGTTTGGCATTTTTGACTTTTAGCTAGGCAATTTTTTCTGCTAACATTTTGCTACTATTAGCTCCTAGTCACTAAGTTTGGCATTTTTGACTTTTAGCTAGGCAATTTTTTCTGCTAACATTTTGCTACTATTAGCTCCTAGTCACTAAGTTTGGCATTTTTGACTTTTAGCTAGGCAATTTTTTCTGCTAACATTTTGCTACTATTAGCTCCTAGTCACTAAGTTTGGCATTTTTGACTTTTAGCTAGGCAATTTTTTCTGCTAACATTTTGCTACTATTAGCTCCTAGTCACTAAGTTTGGCATTTTTGACTTTTAGCTAGGCAATTTTTTCTGCTAACATTTTGCTACTATTAGCTCCTAGTCACTAAGTTTGGCATTTTTGACTTTTAGCTAGGCAATTTTTTCTGCTAACATTTTGCTACTATTAGCTCCTAGTCACTAAGTTTGGCATTTTTGACTTTTAGCTAGGCAATTTTTTCTGCTAACATTTTGCTACTATTAGCTCCTAGTCACTAAGTTTGGCATTTTTGACTTTTAGCTAGGCAATTTTTTCTGCTAACATTTTGCTACTATTAGCTCCTAGTCACTAAGTTTGGCATTTTTGACTTTTAGCTAGGCAATTTTTTCTGCTAACATTTTGCTACTATTAGCTCCTAGTCACTAAGTTTGGCATTTTTGACTTTTAGCTAGGCAATTTTTTCTGCTAACATTTTGCTACTATTAGCTCCTAGTCACTAAGTTTGGCATTTTTGACTTTTAGCTAGGCAATTTTTTCTGCTAACATTTTGCTACTATTAGCTCCTAGTCACTAAGTTTGGCATTTTTGACTTTTAGCTAGGCAATTTTTTCTGCTAACATTTTGCTACTATTAGCTCCTAGTCACTAAGTTTGGCATTTTTGACTTTTAGCTAGGCAATTTTTTCTGCTAACATTTTGCTACTATTAGCTCCTAGTCACTAAGTTTGGCATTTTTGACTTTTAGCTAGGCAATTTTTTCTGCTAACATTTTGCTACTATTAGCTCCTAGTCACTAAGTTTGGCATTTTTGACTTTTAGCTAGGCAATTTTTTCTGCTAACATTTTGCTACTATTAGCTCCTAGTCACTAAGTTTGGCATTTTTGACTTTTAGCTAGGCAATTTTTTCTGCTAACATTTTGCTACTATTAGCTCCTAGTCACTAAGTTTGGCATTTTTGACTTTTAGCTAGGCAATTTTTTCTGCTAACATTTTGCTACTATTAGCTCCTAGTCACTAAGTTTGGCATTTTTGACTTTTAGCTAGGCAATTTTTTCTGCTAACATTTTGCTACTATTAGCTCCTAGTCACTAAGTTTGGCATTTTTGACTTTTAGCTAGGCAATTTTTTCTGCTAACATTTTGCTACTATTAGCTCCTAGTCACTAAGTTTGGCATTTTTGACTTTTAGCTAGGCAATTTTTTCTGCTAACATTTTGCTACTATTAGCTCCTAGTCACTAAGTTTGGCATTTTTGACTTTTAGCTAGGCAATTTTTTCTGCTAACATTTTGCTACTATTAGCTCCTAGTCACTAAGTTTGGCATTTTTGACTTTTAGCTAGGCAATTTTTTCTGCTAACATTTTGCTACTATTAGCTCCTAGTCACTAAGTTTGGCATTTTTGACTTTTAGCTAGGCAATTTTTTCTGCTAACATTTTGCTACTATTAGCTCCTAGTCACTAAGTTTGGCATTTTTGACTTTTAGCTAGGCAATTTTTTCTGCTAACATTTTGCTACTATTAGCTCCTAGTCACTAAGTTTGGCATTTTTGACTTTTAGCTAGGCAATTTTTTCTGCTAACATTTTGCTACTATTAGCTCCTAGTCACTAAGTTTGGCATTTTTGACTTTTAGCTAGGCAATTTTTTCTGCTAACATTTTGCTACTATTAGCTCCTAGTCACTAAGTTTGGCATTTTTGACTTTTAGCTAGGCAATTTTTTCTGCTAACATTTTGCTACTATTAGCTCCTAGTCACTAAGTTTGGCATTTTTGACTTTTAGCTAGGCAATTTTTTCTGCTAACATTTTGCTACTATTAGCTCCTAGTCACTAAGTTTGGCATTTTTGACTTTTAGCTAGGCAATTTTTTCTGCTAACATTTTGCTACTATTAGCTCCTAGTCACTAAGTTTGGCATTTTTGACTTTTAGCTAGGCAATTTTTTCTGCTAACATTTTGCTACTATTAGCTCCTAGTCACTAAGTTTGGCATTTTTGACTTTTAGCTAGGCAATTTTTTCTGCTAACATTTTGCTACTATTAGCTCCTAGTCACTAAGTTTGGCATTTTTGACTTTTAGCTAGGCAATTTTTTCTGCTAACATTTTGCTACTATTAGCTCCTAGTCACTAAGTTTGGCATTTTTGACTTTTAGCTAGGCAATTTTTTCTGCTAACATTTTGCTACTATTAGCTCCTAGTCACTAAGTTTGGCATTTTTGACTTTTAGCTAGGCAATTTTTTCTGCTAACATTTTGCTACTATTAGCTCCTAGTCACTAAGTTTGGCATTTTTGACTTTTAGCTAGGCAATTTTTTCTGCTAACATTTTGCTACTATTAGCTCCTAGTCACTAAGTTTGGCATTTTTGACTTTTAGCTAGGCAATTTTTTCTGCTAACATTTTGCTACTATTAGCTCCTAGTCACTAAGTTTGGCATTTTTGACTTTTAGCTAGGCAATTTTTTCTGCTAACATTTTGCTACTATTAGCTCCTAGTCACTAAGTTTGGCATTTTTGACTTTTAGCTAGGCAATTTTTTCTGCTAACATTTTGCTACTATTAGCTCCTAGTCACTAAGTTTGGCATTTTTGACTTTTAGCTAGGCAATTTTTTCTGCTAACATTTTGCTACTATTAGCTCCTAGTCACTAAGTTTGGCATTTTTGACTTTTAGCTAGGCAATTTTTTCTGCTAACATTTTGCTACTATTAGCTCCTAGTCACTAAGTTTGGCATTTTTGACTTTTAGCTAGGCAATTTTTTCTGCTAACATTTTGCTACTATTAGCTCCTAGTCACTAAGTTTGGCATTTTTGACTTTTAGCTAGGCAATTTTTTCTGCTAACATTTTGCTACTATTAGCTCCTAGTCACTAAGTTTGGCATTTTTGACTTTTAGCTAGGCAATTTTTTCTGCTAACATTTTGCTACTATTAGCTCCTAGTCACTAAGTTTGGCATTTTTGACTTTTAGCTAGGCAATTTTTTCTGCTAACATTTTGCTACTATTAGCTCCTAGTCACTAAGTTTGGCATTTTTGACTTTTAGCTAGGCAATTTTTTCTGCTAACATTTTGCTACTATTAGCTCCTAGTCACTAAGTTTGGCATTTTTGACTTTTAGCTAGGCAATTTTTTCTGCTAACATTTTGCTACTATTAGCTCCTAGTCACTAAGTTTGGCATTTTTGACTTTTAGCTAGGCAATTTTTTCTGCTAACATTTTGCTACTATTAGCTCCTAGTCACTAAGTTTGGCATTTTTGACTTTTAGCTAGGCAATTTTTTCTGCTAACATTTTGCTACTATTAGCTCCTAGTCACTAAGTTTGGCATTTTTGACTTTTAGCTAGGCAATTTTTTCTGCTAACATTTTGCTACTATTAGCTCCTAGTTAATATTTTGCCACTTTTAGCTTTTTGGCTAACCTTTTAGTGTATTTATCTTTACGCTTTGATCTTTGCTACAGGTACATTTTAGCTAGCTGTTGCTAAATTTAGCTTTCAGATTTTTGCTACTTTTAGCTTTTGGCTATCCTTTTAGCACATTTAACTAAGCTAGCGTGTAGGTACTATTAGATTTTATTTTGCCTTTTATTTTGCCTTTTCCTACTATTAGCTTCTAGTAAAAATTTTACCATTTTCTGGTTAGCCTTAGCCTTTGCTAATATTAAATTTTAGCTAGTTTTTGCTAAATTTACCATAAAGCTTTTTTATTAACTTTTAGCTATTGCCTTTCCTTTTAGTATATTAATTTACAGYTAGCCATTAGCTACATATGGACTTTTGAGCTCCTTATTCACATTTGAATATATCTAACCTTTAGCTAATTCAGAGTTGATTTTAAGTTGTGGCTTGTATTTACGTATTGCTGCTTTTAGATTATGTGTAAAATTTTGCAACTTTTAGGTTTTAGCAAGTTTTTTAGCTAACCTTTAGCTTCTGTTAGCTCCTAGTTAATATTTTTCCATTTTTAGCTTTAGGCTAGCTTTATAGTAYACTTCGCGTTAAGCTTGACCTTTGCTACCTTTAGATTTTAGCTAGCTTTTGCTAAATTTATCTTTTAGCCTTTTGGTACTTTTAGCTTTAGGCTATTTTTCAGTATATTTACCTTAGCTAGCTGTAGCTACTATTAGATTTTATTTTTATCTCCTTACTTTTATTTTAGTATATTTAGATTTTAACTAGCCGAGTGCTAATTTTAAGTTGTAGCTTTTGTTTAGCTACCTTTATCTTATAAAGTCTTTTACCTTTAAGTTTTAGCTAGTGTTTTGGTAATGTTAGCTTGGTGATGTGAATTTAGCTGAGAGCTTCAGGTAAAACCTTTGGTGTGTTCCTTTAATGCCGGTTAGCGCTAACAATAATAAGTTAATTTTAGTTTATTTAGTTTTGGCAGGTGTAAAACAGGTTCTGTAGACTGAAGCAGTGGAAGTGAAAAATATTAATAATAATTTAGAGGTTCTGACCCGTTTAACGTCATATCCCAGAAGAACAAAGTTCTGATCTGGAGAAACTGCAAACTTTGTCGCCTTAAACGTCGCCTGTGAAGAAAAAAATTAATTAAATTAAAGCGTGTTCCAACTAAAATACTATTTAAATGTCAAAAGTTTAAACTATATATTTATAGTAAAAGTATTTTTCCTGAGTTTCTAACTGAATATTTTTGAAAGTTTTTCTCACAAACGTTGTGTTTTTGATCAGGAGATCCATCTCGTAATTCAACGTGTTGACTTTGAAAACGTCTCCGTCCCAGCTCCGAAAGACGACTTCTGACGCTACAACAGAGAAAAAAATGTAATAATTTGTAGAAAAAAAACAACCTTTAAGGACTATAAACCATTAGAATAAAAATACATTAACATTATTAGTTAACAGAAACTCAGTTGGTCTCTTATTAAATTATTATTTTTATTG